TGCTCCTCCTCCTCCTCCTCCTCCTCCTCCTCCTCCTCCTCCTCCTCCTCCTGGGTGCGATGCACACGCTAGAACGGATATGAAAAAGGACGGTCGTGCGAGAGCCAAGCCTCGACAACATGACTGCACAAGCCGCATGCAAGCAGAGCAACACCACCAATTGAGAGCCGGGAGCGGGGCGGGGAGGAGGAAAAGAGAAGAGGAGAAGACTGAGCCAACAGCATCTTCCGCCTGGCAATGCATCCTGGGAGGCGAGAAGCCCGCGAATGTGGCGACAGTCCTCAAAAAGTGGCGATCCTTTCGCAGCTCGCAGCTCATCAGGAAATGGCGACGTCTTACCCGAATCCCTGTAGGACGCCACTGCGCTGTGCCCCCCCCGCGGCCACTGCGCTGCGCCGCCCCTCAGCGGCCCTCGAATGTGGAGACGGTACCGCAGCTCGCAGCCCCCCAGGCATTGAAGGCAGAAGTGGGAGGCAGGCAGGAAGCAGACAGGAGGACAGGAGGAGAAGATAAGAAAGAGCAGGAGGGAGGCGGGAGGAGGAGAAGGTGGAGGCCGCGATGCTCTCTGTGCAAAACAGGCTCCCGGCGGAGAGTGGGAAACATCGTGCCGTCGGAGATCCGAGTGTCCCCCCCTTTGAAGGGATCCAGGAGCACACCAATGAATAAACGCGAATCCCAGGTTCCCCCATGATTTCCTATACCTTCTCGGTTTCCGCCTTCCACGTCCCACTTCCCACAGCTTCCTGCACTCTCCTGGGAACCCACGATGAATCGCGTCTCTGCGACTGTTCTCCCCTCGTGGTCAGCTCCGTCCGACCGGACCCCCTCCCGTGCTGCAGGAGGGGCAGCCGCGGCGGCGAGCGGCGGGCACGACGGGCGGCGTCCTGGGGGCGAGCAGCGCCGCTCCGCTGCGCATGGGGGGAGCCATGCCCCCCCCCTCCCCCCGCCGCCCCCCGCTGCGCACGCGGCGCTCGCACGGGCGGCTCGCCCCGGGCGTGCGCGAGCGGGGTGCTGCCAGAGGTGTCCCCTGGGCCGCCAAAGGGATGCAGGTCGACCAAGAGCACGAGGGTGCAGGATGGGGATGCAAGGGGCCTCAGGGGGGCCACTCCGAAGCTTCTCGAGCGGGGCGCGGCCAGCGACAGTGGCCAAGGATGGGCCGAATGGGCAAGAATGCAAGGGTACCCTTGGGAAGGTTGCAAGTCCTCACTATGCAAGTCGACCGTAGGACGAAAATGATGTCATGATGGGAGTGGCGCAGGGCACGCTCGAGGGAAAAGGGGGCTATCCAGCGGCCATCGTTTTTCTGCAGCCCGTGCGGGCCAACAGAGAAGCTCGCAAAGCACGGAAGTACTGGAAAACCGTGGAACGCAGCATCATGACTTCACTCTTGATCCTCTGAAGGGTGTCCTCGGGATTCCCAAGGTGGTCCCCATGGCCTCCAGAGCGCCCCATCACAAGGCCCTGAGGGCCCCAGGGGCTCCACAGTGAAGCGGAAAGCTTGTGGTACCTTGGGCCACGGACACCTGTAGCATATCCCGAAAGGGGAGGGGGGGCGGCAGCGCGCGCGCGCGCGCGCCCGACTCGAAGCCTGCGCCGGGCTGCCGCGAGTGGTGCTGCATGTCAACGCTGGGGCCCCCCGGGCGCCGGAAGCTCGTGGCGGCGAGGCTCGGGCGCTCGGTCATGGCCTGCGCCTGCCGAACGCCCGGCCTCGAAGCCTGGAGGCGCGAGGAGTCCAGGGCGCGGCGGGACGCGGGCGCCTCCTCCTCCTCCTCCTCCTTTTCCTCCTCCTCCTCCTCCTCCTCCTCCTCCTCCTCCTCCTCCTCCGCCTCCTCCTCCTCCTCCTCCTCCTCCTCCTCCACCTCCTCCTCCTCCTCCTTCCTGGTCCCACATGAGGCCTGCCATCTGCCCGCCCCCTCCCCCTCCCATTCCTGTCCGCACGGGGGCTAGCCGTGAGAAGCGTGGGCGGGGGAAGGGGGCAGCAACCAGAGGCTCCTGGCATACCGCTGCGGGGGCATGGGATAAGGAGCCATTGGATGAGGAAGCCGGGGGAACTCCAGTCGTGGATCGGCCCATGGATATCACCGCCGCCCTCCTTTGATAAGGGATGGTCTAGGGTCGGCAGCCTCCTGGGCACATTCCTGAACGAACGCCCCCACAGTTGTCGGGTGTGGGGTGAGCTCTCAACAAAAAAATGTCGCGCGGTCTGCAGCTCAGCCGAATCGCTGCAGTCGGGTGTTCGTCAACGGGGGCAACGAACGGGGGGGGATGAAATGCGCACCCTTCGTGTACATTTGTTGGTGTGTCCGCCCCCGTAGTGCAAGGGCCACTTGGGGCCCATTTAGGTCCACTCTCCTGCGCTCATCAACCCACCCACATCTATAGTCCCCTCGTAGCCATCCACTGGACTCAGATCACGCGGCCGCCGTGTGGTACTCAGCGTTGCTCAAACTGTCCGTTCACGCCCCAAGCATGCCCTCAGAAACTGCACCTTCGCCCTTGTCACCAGATCCTGTCAATCATACGTCCGACGATGCGAAGGCAGGCAACAAAAAGACCAGCCAGGCAACGGTGCGAGGGCAGCATGGAAGAACCACTGCATCTTCGCGAATATGAATTGGCTGCGTGCGCAATGCGAGCACGTCCAACAAATAGATTCAGGAGCTTTCAACACGCGGCGCGTCTCAAAGCGGGGAAACCTAGTGAGAGCGTGAGTCAGCAGGGGAACTGTCTCAGAGTTGAAATGAAAAGCGGACAACGTTCCGACGCATTTCCCATAATTCTGCCAAGCCGAATGCGAGACACGTTGCTCACTAAAGCCAACAGCGACGAAGCTCACAGTCAGATTTGCCTAGCGAAGAACCCGACAATGCGCAAGTGCGCGTAGCGCACGGGGCGGCCGTCTCGTCGTACAAAGCGGGTCACAGGAGCGAAACATGAGCAGAACGACGCAACGCGGGCACGCCCAATGGGATCGTAGAATGAGTTCCCTGCGCCCTGACAAGGCTGTGCCGGAATGAGTGCGGCGACGCTTGGCAGACGCGCCTGACGGGGCCGCAGTTGGAGTTTCCCCTGGCGCGCGGATCCGCTACAAGGGCGTGCCAAAACGAGCGTGATACCGTTTTGGCGGGCCCGACCCCTGGGGACCTCGTTGGAGGTCCTTCTGGAGTACGTTCCTTGAGATTGAACCGCCGAAACGAGGGTCGCGACTCTCTGTGCGCGCGCGCGCCCGCCAGGGCTGCGCTTGGAGGTCTCAACGGGGACACGATCTATGAAGCGCGCGGCCGGACAGCTGATTTGTTGTCTGTGTGCTGTCATGAATGTCTGGAAGCTGGTGGTAAACCGTCTACCAGGTTACCGCCGGGACCCTCGTAGAGCTCTCAATTCAACAAATCACTGCCCAGATGATGAGAAGAGAGCAACTCGCTTTACGCGACCTCGTATCTAGCGCCTTGAGAATTGCACCAGTAAATGCGCCATCATCGACTGCAGGGAGTAACAATCTAGATTTTCAAAACCAATTTTTAAATCTCTCACAATCTTCAAAAAACCGGGCCCAGGTCGTCACATCGTCCGCCTGGGTCGGGTGGGCCAACTAACTGCACCCCGCGCCGGAATTTCTCTTAGCTGATCTCGTCTCAGAGCTCTGAGAGGTACATGTATGTGTATGCTTCTATCTTTTTTATGTATGTATGTGTATGTTCATACTCATGTGTGCGCGCGTGTGCACGAGTGAGTGTTTACCCATGCCAGCTAGTTGCCTCATATTTGCTGCATGTGCGCCCCATGGTGCGTGCCGAGCTCGGCGAGCGTAGCACAGTCGTCGGACGTCTTAGTCCTCACAGAAGTCACCGTGTTCGTCTGAGTCATAGGTGACTCCTGGCCGCCCTTGTTGGCCGGAGAGAACCTTCCGGCCGATAACAGCATGGGGTCACATTCCTCCTCCATCGACGCGGCTGGCTCCGTAGCTCCATGCGCAGTGCCATCAGATCTCCTTGCGCGGACGGTTGCAGAGGTAGAGTTTCCTCGATACACATGAATGGAATGCGGGCGCGGCAATCTCGCATTCTGTGCGCCCCAGGGCGCGGTTTCATGGAGGAGGACGTGGAAGAGAAGAAGGAGTGAGGGGGAGAAGGTGATGGAGGAGACTGAGGAAGAGAAGGAGAGGAGGAGAACAAGCAGGCGGAGGAGAAGGAGGGGGAGGAGGAAGAGGAGGATGACGAGCAGGAGGGAGAAGGGGGAGAGAGGGAAGAGGGACGATGATGATGAGAGGAGGAAGATGAGGAGAACGGACAGGACACGAAAGAGGAGAGGAAGCAGATGAAGGAGGAAAAGGGGAAGAAGCAGGGGAACGAAGAGGACGAAGAGCAGGAGTAGGAATAGTTTGTTTGCTTACAGCTCGGATACCGATTTCAAACATGTAGATACTTGCAACGAGCGTTCCCGATGATCTTCTTTCAATTGTTGTGCCGCACAACTCTAATCTCATCTGCAACTCAAGCTAGATCAAGAGGGGCATCGTTCTCCCTGAAAAAGGAGTACGAATATATGTTTGGTTCCAACTCTGGAGGCAGACCGAGTTCGGGCATCTAGATATTGAGACAAGCGGTTGTGAGAATTTCCTTTTCGGTAATTGTGCCAAACAGCTATGTAACTCATCTGCAGCTCGGTTTATCTCAGGAAAGCTAACATCATCTCTTAAAAACTTAGCAGAGTACGAATAGTGTTTCGGAACCAGCTCTGGGAGCAGAGCGAGTTCGGGCAGCTAGGTACTTGAGACTAGCGCGTCTGATGATTATTCCCTTTTCGATTGCTGTGCCAAAACAGCTCTGTAGCTCATCTGTAGATCGAGGTAAGTCAAGAAACGAATCATCGGCCCTAGGAATATGTTTGGCTAATAAGTAATATTTCTTTCAAATATACGTATACTATTATTAAATTTTATACATATATATATATAAACAAACAATGTTCGAACACAGGTCTGCTAGCAGACAGAGTTTGGGCATCTAGATACTTCAGACTGGTAATTAAGATGATTCCCTCTCGATTGATGTGCCAGACAGCTATGTAGTTCATCTGCAACTCGAGTTACATTAGGAAACTCGTCATCATCTCAGGGAAAAAATACGAATAGCTTTTTCTAATCCAGCTCTGGTAGCAGACCGAGTTCAAACATCTAGATACTTGAGACGAGCGCTTCTCATGATTATCTCCCGATAGCTGTGCCGAACAGCTCTGTGGCTTATCTACAGCTCGAGTGAAGTTCAGAAAACCGACGGCACCTGCCAAAATGACACTAAACAGCCGATCCCGCCCACATGCTTTTTGACAGTACCTTGCACCCGATCGACCTGAGATTAACATGGCGAGCGGAAATAAGATCCAATATCGAGAGAAAATACTAAGAGCTCCAACGACTGTTCAAATTTTGAGACATCGATTTTTACACGACCAAAATGATGCAAAACATCCGTCGAGATTTTTTTGCAAACCAGCCCCCCAGCGAGCCGGAACTGGGAGCCGGCGGTAAACCGTCAACCTTGGTTTGTTCATTTGTCTGGGCTCCTACGCACCAACTGCGAGACAGCTGGAGGAGACGAGTCTCGCAAGTCCCGAAGCAACGAGCGAGCAGCGCAAAGAAGCGCCTCGGCGGCACTAAGTTCACATTCTTGGATTGTCGCTCCTTCAAGGAGCCACGCGGCCTCAGCCACACCTCTCCAAACGAGAGGCGTAGCAGTCGCGAAAGAAAACTCGTGACCTGGCGGAAAAGGGCCGACAGCCCTAGGCTGTGCAAATCCGAGCTCCTGACTCACGTATTCTCTGTTCAACATGCCCATCTGAAGCCAAAAACCACATCCTGATCCCTAAGGACACACCCCACCATCAAAGGCACCTCTGATGGCGATTGGAGTAAGGTACGATTCAAAA